TTTCACCAGTGAAAGTGATCGCTGGGTGAACACTGTTGAATTGGTCTAGGAGTTCCTCTTTACTAGTGTTTTGATCTACGATAATGAAGGTGTCGTCAATGTATCGGCAATATAAATCAAGTTTCTTAATAGTCTCATTGAGAGGTCCATTTTCTAGCTTTGCTAGGAAGAGATCAGCTAAAATCGGGCCTAGAGGCGAGCCCATGGCTATCTCGTCTATTTGTCTATAGTAAGTATTGTTGAAGACAAAATGTACATTCAGAGTGCATCTTAGGAGCAGTTCCCTTAGGCTATCGTTAGGCAAGCCAATGTTGATTTGTTTTTCTGATATTTGCTTGCATATAAACTCAATAGTCTCTATAAGTGGTACGTTGGTGAACAAAGATCCTACATCCAATGAGATCATATTTTTCATACTGACATTAATATTTTCTACTTTGGAGGTGAAGTTGAAGACATCTTTACACTATTTCTAACAACTGATTTGTGTAAAGGTTCTAAGATTCGTACTAGCCACTTGGCGATTTTGTGGTAAGGAGAATTGTACATATCTAGAACTGGGCGTAGAGGAAGACCCGATTTATGTACTTTAGGCAAACCATACAGTCGTGGTGTAAATGATCCAGTCGGCTTAATTGAATCGTAAATCTCGGTCGTAAATATTCCCTTTTTCGTTAGATCTTTAAGGAAATTGGCCAATTGTCTTTCTACTTTATTATTGATGTCACAATTACCAGTAATTTTCTGAAATTTGCTAGAATCGCTAAGCAATGTTTCCATTTTTCCCATGTAATCATTTTTGTTCATGAGAACTATACCTCCTCCTTTATCTGGTTTGGTTATGGTCAGGGTTTCATCTTTTCTTAGTTTCGTTAGGGAGTCTCGGTGCTGCTTGGTTAGTAGGTGATTTGTGGTACCCTTACTATTCTTGTATTGTTGGCAGCTATCAACTAGTGTGGTTTTAAACCGAGCAAGGTCCTCCAAGACTCTCTAACGAAACTAAGAAAAGATGAAACCCTGACCATAACCAAACCAGATAAAGGAGGAGGTATAGTTCTCATGAACAAAAATGATTACATGGGAAAAATAGAAACATTGCTTAGCGATTCTAGCAAATTTCAGAAAATTACTAGTAATTGTGACATCAATAATAAAGTAGAAAGACAATTGGCCAATTTCCTTAAAGATCTAACGAAAAAGGGAATATTTACGACCGAGATTTACGATTCAATTAAGCCGACTGGATCATTTACACCACGACTGTATGGTTTGCCTAAAGTACATAAATCGGGTCTTCCTCTACGCCCAGTTCTAGATATGTACAATTCTCCTTACCACAAAATCGCAAAGTGGCTAGTACGAATCTTAGAACCTTTACACAAATCAGTTGTTAGAAATAGTGTAAAGATGTCTTCAACTTCACCTCCAAAGTAGAAAATATTAATGTCAGTATGAAAAATATGATCTCATTGGATGTAGGATCTTTGTTCACCAACGTACCACTTATAGAGACTATTGAGTTTATATGCAAGCAAATATCAGAAAAACAAATCAACATTGGCTTGCCTAACGATAGCCTAAGGGAACTGCTCCTAAGATGCACTCTGAATGTACATTTTGTCTTCAACAATACTTACTATAGACAAATAGACGAGATAGCCATGGGCTCGCCTCTAGGCCCGATTTTAGCTGATCTCTTCCTAGCAAAGCTAGAAAATGGACCTCTCAATGAGACTATTAAGAAACTTGATTTATATTGCCGATACATTGACGACACCTTCATTATCGTAGATCAAAACACTAGTAAAGAGGAACTCCTAGACCAATTCAACAGTGTTCACCCAGCGATCACTTTCACTGGTGAAAGCGAGCATGATAAGAAGCTGAACTTCCTTGACGTCACACTAAGCAGACGAAGTGACGGCACATTAAGTAGAAGCGTGTATAGAAGAAACCCCTCTTCATGCCAATATACTCACTTCTGCAGTTTCACACCCATCCGTTACAAGAGAAATTTGGTCAGATGTCTCACTAGCAGAGCAAAAAAGATCTGTACAGTAGATACTCTAAGTCAGGAGCTTGAATTTATCAACAACTCACTGACCGAGATCGGCTACCCCAGCGCGTTCATTAAGAAGTACATGTATGATATAATAAAGAAGTCGGAGATTTCGACTGTTCGTAAGAAACCTTTATACATGAAAGTGCAATTCAACGGGGATGTGGCTAGTGACACTCTGAAATATAGGTTAACCAAAGTAATCACCAGGACATTCTACGCAGCCAATCTTGCGTTGACCTTCTCTTGTCGACCAGCGATGTCTACTCAAACGAAGGATAAGTTACCTGAGTTGGCCTCTTCCATGTGCATTTACAAATTCAGCTGCTCCTGTGGAGATAGCTATATAGGGCGTACTACCAGGCAACTTAACCAACGAATGAGTGAACATCTACCAACTTGGTACATAAAGGGCCAGAGAAAATCTATTCGCAGTTCTACATTGGCACATCTCATTGATAGCGGTCATGCTGTAGATAAATCGAAATCATTTCGAGTTATCTATCGTATACCTCCATCATTTCCCGACGGAGTCCGTTCCCGTCTCCTACATATAGCTGAAGCCATTGGAATTCGTACATATAACCCCAATTTATGTGTACAGAAGAAATACGTGACCCCCCTATCCCTTCCATGGCCAGTTATAACTTAACTAACAATTTTTTTTAAATTTTATTATTATCATTATTTATTTTATTCTATTTGTGTTATCGTTAACCTTATTTCCACATCCATTATTTGTTTGTAATTTTCCGCCTCTTTGTATTCTTCACTATCTAATTATTTACACACATCTTATTACGTAATGATTTTAATGTTTTGTGATTACTATTCCTAGTCTATTTACCCATGTTTGACCTTCTATTTCCAATGTTTAACTATTGATAAGAGTTTTGTTATTGTATTTTATTATTCTTACTATTATCAGTTCACCTGTCTTCCTACTATAAACTTGTACTTTTACCTATTATGTGTAGAGACTTATTCTATTTCATTGTGATTATTGACCCATATTGCCTTGATTGGTTTAAATTTTCGTATAAATATTCATGTATATTAGAGTAAAGCCTGATGACGATCTAATTGAAAACAATTGTTCGCTTATATGTGTTGTTGTAAATACTGGTTTACGATGTAATCTAGGAAACAATAATAATCAACCTAAACCGCTAGATAAATAGCAAACATCTTATTAGTGTTTCACATTACTGAAGAAAAATGAATCAATTAGATAATGGTATTATGTATAACTGGATATGTGGGAAAAAGTTAATCGATCAGTGCTTATACATAATTTAATAAGCATTTGGTTTACGTACTTTTAAAATATAATCAATCAGATGTAATTGCTCACAGGGGACTAATGTTGCGATACAAAAGACGGATTTTACAAAGTATAATTTTCAATACATAATGAGTACATATTCCATTTCGTCTATATTTTCTTTAGAAACGCAAGTACCATGATATAAAGGAATTAGTGTCTTGCTGTATTGCAAGTAATATTTATTGATCAATGCGTTGAGGAAAGGTAAATACTTCTTAATAAAACAGATCTACAGTAGGATTGATATTACTTTAAATTTACATTTTGGAAGTCTATTATCATGTCACTTTTTTATGCGCAATCCTCAACACCAAGTGTTTAGTGTTAAAAGCAAATGAAATGTCAAATTCCTAATACAGATGCAGGTAATCATTAACATATATATGGTACTTATCTTTAAACTTGATAACTTTTGAGTGGAATGCAAAGAAAATAATGTGTTGATCATTGTAAGTAATTAAAAACAAAAATCTTTTCATTTAACTTGTATTTTCAATAATTATTAGAATACTCCACTACTTGATATATACGTTATTAATAAAACTTAGGAATAACGCCACCATTAATTATTTTCTAAAAAAAGTAATAAAGACAACAAAAGTAGATTTCCTTTGGCAAATCAAACCTCATTTGAATATAGTATTGAATATTCAGTGCAAAAATTAGGACGATCGAGTAATGTATTTACATGTAACTTCTCCTTAATGAGGAAATTCTCCGCAGAATAATAGATGATATTTACACGTTAGCAGTTATGAAAGCGGTTATTCTTCTGTCAGATTTTGAACCTTTAGGGAACCAGTTGATAAAATGACTTTAAACAACAGACGGACAGAGAGTAATACTACTCAACTTATAAATAAGCAAAATATCTAAGTTGAGAAGACACTATATTTCATTATGTAAATACATACGTAATGACGGACCTTTATGAACTCTTGAAATAGTAACGACAAGAACTCAATGATCGATGGAAAAGTAAGATTTTGATAAACTGAACATGTAATAGTATACGTTAAATTATGGGAGGCGGTTAGTCGAGTTTAAAAAAGCCAACAATACCAACAATGAAAGGGAATTTCAAGTAACTTACTTTTGGAATAAAATCTAACTTGAATTCACTTTTAAGCAGTCTTTTAATTTACATTTTCCTAAAAATATCCACACTGACTACATCGAAGAGCGAAATGTCTAACTAAGGGATGCATAAAAATAGCATTACAAAGAGAAAATGATTGTTCTTACTAACGATAATATTTACGAGTAGTTTGTATACAAAATATACACATTGAGAAATGGGGATTTTAACAAAAAAAAGAAGAGAGTATAGAGATATTATTATTCAGTTGCATAATGAAATTAAATAACGAATTAGAAGTGAATAGATCGGAATAGTAATAGTAATAAAATACCAACTGATAAATAAGAAATATCACTACTGATAGTCAATAGGAATCAAGATTATATCAGTAAAAAGAAAAATTAATTTGCAACGCGTGTTTGCAAGTAAGGTTTGGCAATGCGACATTATCTTGTCTCCAGCCGAAATGGTAGATAACATAAACTTTATATATATATATATATATATATATATATATATATACGAATATAACACTATGTTGTTCGTAATACTGGAGGTACCTGTGAAAAGGAAGAAATTCATGAAGTATACAAAGATTTAAGAAAATTTATGTATAATATTTAACCTTCATAAAAACTGAGAGAAACGAAACCGATAGAGAATGGCTGGTGCACGAATATGTGGGAAAACTGAGATAAGTTTATACAGTGAATAGATTGGAAATTTCCGCTACTTTCTTCAAATACTTCATATAATCAGCTACAATCTGTTCTCAGTAAACATAATCAATAATGTCATTACTACTGTAATATCATACACCATCTGGATCATACAATAACATTCCGGGTTTATACTCTCGGCCATGAAGTACAGTTTACGTGTGATGTTATGCGAAAATACCTTTTAAAAGTACAACCTTAGAAATCTGGTAATTAGTAAGCAAACAAAGTTACGGTTTACATTCCACAATACATAATCAGTTCTCTCTTTCATGATAATGATTCACTAATGATAAACTTTTCATGGTCTAATTAATGAATTAATTAGCAAGTCTATGGATCGTATACCCCCATCACCTATGCATAGATATAAAATAATGTTAAAGATTACTAAACATTAGCCCATCTTGATAAAGATAAAAAGAAACTATATTTTGCCAATATCTTAGCTTATCTGTATGACATCAGCATCGAAATTCAAAGTGGATGATAGTAGAAAGCGAAATGTCATAAAATAACGTAAACACATAACATACACTGCATTGAACTAAAATATTTACGATAAGTACTTCATGGAAAACCGGGAAAAACACACTTTGAAATAAACATGTACAGAAATAATTTTACCTTAGGTATCACTGAACTATCATCCTCTTTTGTAAGTGTATTTGTAGATTCTGTACTATTGGATTGTGTAATAGTAGAGTCGGTGATTCGTTCAGATGAAACAAGTTCATCACTTGGGCTGATTGACTTCAACTCAATTTCGTCTGTGATTGCTCTTGTGCTGCAAATCTCATCACCACTAGTGTTATAATAACTCAAATCTTGTGAAACATCACTATCTACCCTGTGTTAAAAAGCAAAGAATTATCTTCAGGTAATAAGTAACTGTAGTTATTAATGAAAATTTCTTCGAAATGTTATAAAAGTTGAGTTAAAAATCACCACGAAAAAACGCAAGTTAAATATTTCATTGAACTGTTACTAAATGATAATAATCTGAAAAAAAATGAAGTAATTTGATCAACTATTTATCATTAACACATTCTTTGACTTTCCTTAGATCTTGCGTTTTAAAATTATCTTATACATTTTTCTCCGTGAGTTTATCCTAACTTCTCGAATTATAGTGTCTACACCCTAATCTTCTCTACTATTGCAACTACTACTACTACCGATACCATTACTACTTCTAATAATCTGGAAATTGTCTTGATAACTTTATCTCTCTGTACCGAAATGGTGTGGTGGTTTGAACAGATGCACATATGTGCCTGATCTTACGTTAATGAGGAGACTAATGGACGTTTAAAGATTTGAGGCAAGCATGGGAAATCAAGTTTATCCAAGTAAAATTATGACATTATGAATAAATGCGATTTTGTCATCATCAAAATACCTAACAATATTTAGAAAGATGAATAGATAAATACATCATTTGAATATGGGTTCACTGAAATATTCTAAACACGAAATTCATCTCAATATTATTAAATTATTTTATGCCTTTCGGTTATAGGAAGCATTTATCGATAAAAAGGCTTAAGGTTTAAATAATTTGACTCTAAAACCATATTAAAACCAATCATTAAATAGTTATTGACTACTGTGAGTAATTATGAAGTTAGTTGCACAGTACGAAGTAGATATAGTAAATCGGATCGGTGAGGCTACAAACCTCCACTGACTTAGACAGTTGGGATATATATATATATATATATATATATATATATATATATATATATATATATATATATATATATATATATATATATATAAGATATGCCTAATCCCCACTTACCCCGATGCTCAGTGACAGCTGACGTAGGAGCAGACCGGGAAAGAGCTAAGAGTTACTATGAAATCAATCCATGAAACCATTAACCATTAGATTAAACCATATCAATTGATGCAGGCTTTTTGTTTAGAGAACTCTAGATAAACGGTATCTACGGTTAGAAATTTGGTGTGACATGGTATAAGATCAGTTAGTTGCAGATTTATTTTTGCATTGACAATAAACAACCTATTTAAATATACAGCCATCTTCAGTAATTTCACTTATTAAAATAATTTTATTGTCATTCACTGATGATAAAGTTTATGAAATATAAACATATAAGATGGAATTGATCTGAAAAAAATGTGATATATTCGAAGTATAAATTTCGAATAATCCGGTTATATGTATACTTGTCAAGACATTTATAAAAACTAATAAAGGTCAATTAAATAAAAGTTAAAATAAACGTAGTGATAGCTGAAAATAAAGAAAAAAATTAATATAAAATGGAAATAATAGGAAACTGCGGTCACCCTAGGCTATGAAATGGATAAAGATTATCAGGGTAGATTTAAGGTTATAATTAATTGTTTCTATACACATAAAGGAAGTCTGTGTATTCTGATAGTTAAGGCTTCTTTTTCTGAATTTCAGAATGCGCCCTGGACAATTACTATACGTTTTGAAAGTTGTGTTGATGTGAACTCTATGAAACATTAAACATTTAATTATCGATGAAAAATTTTTTTAATATCAATTCCATCTTCTGATTTATACAAGGGAATAATTGCTTTAAAATAAAGTGTTTTGTTTTTAAAGTTCAGTAATGTAATACTACAGAACTACTCATATGAACTTACCGTGTTAGATCACGTTTATTTACATCAAGAGGTAAATCAGAATTCTAAAGTATAAATCATAACAAAACAGAAGTGATTTTTTTTTATTTTATACAATGCAAAATTTACATAGTTAGATAATATTACAACAAAATTAGTCAAACATGGAAAGAGAAAAAAAAGAAATAGCATCAATTCACTTTCTCACGCGAAAATTAAACGAGAAAAAAGAACTTACAAAAACAATGAAATATATAATAAAACTACCTTCTTTTATCTAAATAGCTAATTCTCTAATTTTTTTTTATAAAAAAGGCAGTTAACGATAACTGTTACATTGAATTATTGATATTCTAGCCCTAATATGATAGAGCAAACTCCACCCATTTTCCCCATTGATAAAATAATAATAATAATCGTTATTACATAAATGAGAATATAAATCGACGTTTATTCTAGTGAAAAAGTACATATGTGCATATATATATATATAATCGATTAGTCTTCGTATAGCATAAAATAGATAACCTATTCACAATGGAAAAAAAACAATTTCTCAAGTTAATTTCGAAAATATTTTTGTATAATTGATAGGTAATTTGTATTTGTTTTTGTAAAATGAGACATTTGAATTTTGTATCAAGGATAAAGATGAGGAATCTCAAGCTAGAAACAAACAAAAGTACAGTACATCATGATTTTAGATTGTTCCTTTCGAAAACTAACGAATAGCTACAACCAAAACTTACATGAAACTTAGATCATCTAGTAATCTAACGTTGGATATATGAAAAGAAAAAGGGGCTACATACGATGAATACGTCTAAAGAAGGAATATATGAAGTGAATTTTAGGTCATTTGAAAAACATCATATCAATATTATCAATATAGTACGCTTTAGGGATTGCTGTAATACGATCCGAAAACCGTAACGACAAACACAAACCCAAATACTAATTAGGCTGAGAATATTAAGATCGTTAATATTAAGTAACGCATATAACAAGGATGTCATATATGACTTTGGTAAATAAGGGTTAGTTGTTTCTTGCTGCGATAAACGAGAGCACAATTTTAAATTCATATTTAGCAAGACATTTGTTATTTTCTAGTCGGATAATTCTTCTATCGCAAAGTCGTATCTGATCTATATATATAGTAGATTCCTTACGCACAAGAATAATCTTGACCGTCCCCATCGGACAAGCTAAGAGTGAGAAAGCAGCAGCACCAGACAAAATACAAGCAGAAGCACTGAATTCAAAAACAGAAGTACCTGCAAGGACGTTGTACATCTACCTAAGAAGATTATGGCAGAAAAACAAATGCCAATAAACTGGATAGAGGGATACCTCATCAAGATACCAAAGAAACGTGATCTTAGCAAGTGTGACGACCACAGAGGCATGCACTACTGTCAGTAGCATAGACATTTTTCAAAACTGAACGAAATATTTAGTAAATGCCCAACTTCTAGACGATAAGGTTGGCTTTCGTAAGAATCGATCATATACCGACCATATCCTGACACCACGTATCATTGTTAAGCAATTAACTTAATGAAATTCACCACTACAAATCAACTCCCTTAACTATGAGAAAGCATTCAGACGCGTGCAGAGAAAAACCTATAGGAAATTCCTCCCAAAACATGGAGTATGTGGGAAGATCGTCAACATCATACGGAATTCTTATGACGGGTACACCGTAAAGTCCTCCATGAAGAGTAGCTTACAGATGTGTTCCACATAAAGACCGGCGTTAGACAATGTTGCTTACTCTCGCCTTTCCTCTTTCGGCTTATGAAAGCCTCAACATCGCTAGGGAAGCACGGGATACAATGGACAGCATGCACGCAACAAGACGATTTGGACTTTGAAAATGATCTAGCTCTTCCAACTCATATAGATGCAGGTGACGACAGGTAGTGTAGCAACAGCCTCTGAAGCAGTAGGCCTCAACATACACAAGGAAAAAAGTAAGATCCTCAAATACAACATAGTGAGCACCAACCAAATCACACTTGATGTAGCAACTCTAGAAGGGGTGGAAACTTCCACGAACTTGGTCAGCATCATCGGTAAACAAGGAAGATCTTATGTCAGTGGTAAAGACAAGGATCGGCAAAGCAAAGGCCACAAACCTACAGTTGGAGAACATATGGAACTCAAAACAACTGTCTGCAAGCCAACACCAAACTCGGAATCTTCAATACGAACGTCAATACAATTCTACTGTGCGGAGCTGAAACTTAGAGAACTATTACAACCATCATCCAAAAGTACAAGTATTTATAAACAGTTGTTTACGCAAGCCACTACAAATTCGTTGGCCGGACACCACCAACAACAACAACAACCTACTTTGGCAGAGAACAAACCAAATCTCAGTTGATGAAAAAAGATACGACAAGACACACTTCAGGGAAGTCGTCAAACTGCATCACGAAACAAGCCTTGACTTGGGATCATCAAAGTCAAAGGAAAAGAGGGAGACCCAAGAACACATTGAGAAGGGAATTGAAAACAAGCATCAAAAGAATGAATAGCACTTAGCAATAAATGGAAAAGAGAGTCTAGGACAGAGTATGTTGGGGAATTCCGGTCGGTGGCCTCTGTTCCACAAGGAATAACAGACGTACGTAAGTGAGCAGACTGAAAGGAACAAATCACACGATACAATATCACTGAAAAGTAAACCTCTACTATAACAGCACCATTAAATAGATCGTATAATACTAGAATAGAATTTTTCTGCATGATTATTTAGTTGATAAACAAAGCTGATTTATTTGAATAACATGGAAAAAACTAAAATACTGATCGAATATTAATTTAATGACTATGTTTAAACGTAAAAATAGATGGCTACATTTGTTGAAATTTACCTTATGCAACTCAAACGTCAAATAAAAGCAAATAAATTGCAAACAATGTTACATATAAGTCAAAAAAGTTAAATATATACTCACTTTGCCTAGGGACGATAAATATACCGGATTATCTCGTTGTGTACTTTCTGATATGAAATTAGACGTTGAAATTGAAGGCAGACATTCTTTTCCATCTGAAAATATTTTACTATTAGAGATAGTTTGTGGTCTATCTGAGCAAATACTACTGCTATTATTGGCCAAATCACCTGTTACAATTGGTTGATCGGATGATTTACCAGTGGACGGTAAAGATAAAACAACTTTACTACTTGTAGTAAATGGTCCATTTGATTGACTCTGTGATGACATTTCAGCAATATCTTCTTTTTCACATAAATCAATATATTTAATACTACAGAATAGATTTTTCTTTTTACTTTGATCCACATTATTAGATGTTGATTTTCAGTAGATGGATTAGATTTTTGACGTTGTAAAACTATAAATTCATATGTTGTCATACCTTTTATATCTGAAATAAATGAGGAAAAATATGGTAATTAATGAGGTTTAAAACAATATTCATTATACATGTTATTATTGAACTGAAAATGAATGATGTAAACCACGGATTGATGCTTTAGAGTTCAACTCTCAACTACCCAAACACAACTTCGAGAAATCACTTCATTTACTTCGATTTGAACAGTGGAATATTATATGTCTAGTGCACTATTATGGTAGTACGTTTTATTAGTTTTGTTCGTCAGATAGGTTTCAACTGTTTATTCTGATAGCAATCAAACCAGCCTAAGAAACTTTATTTTTAACCACAATTTCAGGACTATTTTTGACATATATTCTAAAAGTATCAAAAAAGCGCGAGCGACAGTGAGCACAAATCATTTATGAAAATCTAAGGACAACAATGATATGATTCAAGTCTATTTTTCTCTTGTTGATAACAGTTGTTGAGAAAGTAATTTAATGCATAAAATTAAGTGTCTAACAAGAACATGTAGTGCTCCACTGTACACTGCTGAAATAAGATTTCGCCGTTAACTTTTTTAACAGAAAAGGATTCATAAGAGAATTTGCACTGTTAACTTTAGTTGCTTATTTAACAGAAGTGGCTTACATTAAGTCACGAAACGTCAAAAATATAATATTTCTACTCGTTGGGATATAACGAAAATATATTTATTGACTTTTTACTTAATACTCATTCTATTCGAAACTATCAAGTCTAACCTTGACATCGATACCTAAAAAATAATTAATTTGATGTTCAGTTGATTAGTTACTTCAAAGTTGCACATCAACGGCACAAAATCTTCCATTTCGGTATGAGTAACTTTTAGGTCGATTACTAGTGGTTGTTATTGATCATGGATACAATCTCCTCCGTTCTACCATACAGCTGTGCAAAATGGACTTTAAAAATAGAAAATATTTATACGTAACGAGTATCCGATCATAGATGCCGTCAAAGCATTGCTCGGATATTTTGGGACCATCGAGTTAGCGATTTTGAGGTCGGACATAGAGTACCACGTAATGATTACAAATCCATTGACGAGGTCAGTCAGTAACAACGTAGAACTTCGTACGTATGTACATCAGTTCGAGTTGCCATACCACATTAGCACAGAGATGCAGTGGTCGATTCAAATCCCGTAGGGTAGAGACGGTAAGAGTATAAGCAGTAATCGGAAAGATTAGGGTTTGAATGTGTTATTTAAAGAGTATAATCCAGTAAAATAAATTTGGAAAGAGAGAAAAAAAGACAAGGAGGATTCAGGAGATTAGAATTTGGGAGAACACAACAAGTGGATGCACCTGCGCCATTGCAAACGATTTTGAGCCATGTCATTCAGGGTCTCTAACCATCGGTTGTTATCATCTCGCGATCCCCAACCAGGTAGTCTACACCTACTAACATGGCTCAGTCCTCTTGTCAGTGACTTCATGGACTTGTGCCATGTGATTGACGAGGTAGGGAATCTTTATTGACTGAGATGGCTAAAACCTGTATTACGTGGACCCATACACCAACTACCTCGACCTGCGATGACGGCTATTGTAGTAATAGGTTGGAAGAAAGCTATAGGTAGCCAAACCAACACACAAAGTTACTGTTTCTTGGACACAGATCCTTGTAGCTGGATACCAACTACATAATTGTGGATCGCATGATTATCGTAATGACATGACTCGGAATCGTACGCAATATTGCAGTTGCATTCACTCCTTGTCTTTCCCGTAAAATTTTGAAATCTGTTTTACTAATTTAAATTTAGTCGATTCGTATCTTGGATACATAGTCTTTTCGATTACCACTAATACTGTTATTGCCTCTAGTACTCTGAGATTTGTCCTGACAATTTCATCTTGTTGTGCTAATGAAGTCTAACAACTTGAACAAGTGTACACAAGTGCCAGGATCTACGTTGAGTATGACTGATTGACTAACTAAAGTCATTAGTGCTGAGCTCCTTCAAAACGACAGCCATGTAACGCCATAGACACGAAATACGTGCATGAAAATTACAGTTGTTTTCACCCAACAGTCTACGATATATAGTTATCCGTAAACAACGTCAAATTGATATGTTTCGATGTCCTTAGTTTGTTTACAATCCGTACACTGCTGTTGGCTTCTTAGCACGGTCTACTTAACCTTCTTCTAATAGCTGAAATTCCAGGAACAGATAATTTAACAATTACAGTCAATAGGACGCGAGATCAGAACAAAGGACAATATTCAAATGTCAGGGTCAGTATACAATAGCCAGAAAGCTCTGAGGTGGAGAGCTAAGAGTAAGAAAAAACGAGAGAAATGAGTGCTACATCCTTGACAAATGCTACGGAAACAGAACGAGAATACTTAACACATTATAAACTTACACAAGTATATATGAAAGATTATTAGATGCACCAAAAAGGCATCAATGCAAAAAGTAAATAAACATCCAACAATAGCGATTATAAAGAAAACCAATCCAGATGAATTTAAACCGAATATGCGGAAAACTCCATCTATGAATTCCAATGTTGAAATAAGAAGTCAGTAACCAGTTACGAAAAAATATATACATGAAATAAACACATAATTTTTAAGTATGATGGGATAAAAACTGAGGGTGATTCAAAACAATAACAAAAATGTTTATTTGAAAGGTCCGCTAAAACTTAGTACAGATGTAGTGAATCCCTACTTTAAAAAAAGCCAAGTGGTTATAAATCACGATAACAGTCAAGTACAAGGTATTTTTAAATAGGTTAGTCAATCAGCCTGACAATTAGCAGATATTAAGTACAAAGGCTGCAGAAAAAATATTTGGAAAGCTTTATTTTAATATAAATGCTCCGATTTTTAATGAATAACTATATGAATTAAACAAGAAAAACTCAATCTCATAGGATGATTATTTACTTCGCAATTGTTTTGACAATGATTACGTAAACCATTAACGATAAATGCATTGGATTGAAGATATCTTATTCAGCACATTTTCTCAACTCAATATGTTTGTCAGGTTATCCCTCTAAAAGGAGTAACATGGTTTTCAAATACATAAACATATAAACTACAAATAAGTTTGATTGTTGGCATATAAAAACAATTGTAGGGACGACTATCTGACAGATAAGATCTCTCCAGATATTCAAACCGACTTTGAATGTTTAACGACCACTGAAAAGGCATGCTAAGTAGTGGAGATATCGTGCAAGAACTAGTATTACCTACGTGCTGGTGCTAAGCCTAAACTCACAAGTAATTGATTTTTTGTTTTCAACTTGGACGTCAAAGAGTTACGGTATTAAAATTACATTTAATGAGGTAAAAACTTGATGGGTGCTAACACAAATAATCGCAACCTATATATGTTTCCCACTTTCATAAGCTGCATTTCACAGTTATAATGATAGAGTGATCTACTGAACTACATGCTCGCTATATAATATATATAACCAACCTGGGAACTGCTATAGATGTGTGTCAGTTCTACTTAGCACGCTCCACATCAGTGTGGTAGCTTATATTTGGACCCTTTGGAACAGGTAAATTTAGATACTGCAAAGTTCTTTTGTTGATGAATTTCATAAATTAGAAATTAGGTAATTAACAAACGGTTAAATATCTTTGACCGCCTAATGTGAACACACTCAGAAGTTAACTGCTAGAACTGAAAAATACTTGTTCATATAGTGATAACACGAGTATGATATCTGCTAAAATAGTTAAAGGACGGTCAGATGTTGTAAATCGTTTGAATGGTGAGTTGCGTTATTGCAAACCATAATCAGAGGGTCCAATGAATACAGAACTTTCAGATAATTTATTGAATATTGAAAACATGTGTAACATATGTTAACAGTCAAGATTTTGTATTTGAAATAATAACATTTTAAAAAATAGAAGATGCGGTTAGAAGACCGAGCTTTTTAAGAAATATCATAGTTAAGAGGAACACATACCAAAAACAGCACTTACCATTGTTTATTAAATAATCTAGATGTTCAATGGTCCCATTGGTGAATGTTTGCCAGTAATCTGATAAGACAAAAAAGCAATAACGAAAAATGTATGATAAACAATTCAATAACTGAACATCTATTTCTAATAATTTCTTCTTAACACAAAAGTAATAATTAAATAGAATGAGGTACAAAACAACAGCTGATATTTTTGTGGAAGGGGAAAAGTAATCTAATCATAACAATACTTGAGGAAACCAGGATAAATAAAACAGAATAGAAGTAGATATTACTTCGATTAAAATATATTACTATTTATGTAAAATAAAGACGCAAAATACTAAACAATAGTTATCGATTTTGATTTTAGGTTTCCCTTTAAACTACTGAGTTGAGCAATTTTTCTGATCTCCCCAGAGGGAATCATGACGATAACTTGATCAAGATTCGTTCAACCTAGAATGACATCACAAAATAATCCCTTCATTAATGAATAGCTGGGCCAGTACTCAGCACGAGAAATATTGAAGTGAATACGTAAAACATATCAGATCCTCAAAGGCTAGTGTCTGAAGACGATTTCAAAGGTTGATTACCAAACACATTGCTTAAACTTAGGATAACACATATGGTATTGACACTAAATGCGAGTAATCATAAAAAGACAGCAACAATTAAATGAACAGAATTACCCAACATTTTAAGATAAGAAAGGCCAGGCTTTAAAACCATAGATTACACTTAATGCAACCCTGTGTACCAACGCACTTCACAGTTGGAGTAAAATGACGATGACATCAAATGCTATCCCATATAATCGATTACGTTGATCCGGTATTTGATATACGAAAAATGAATTTGGAAATTTAAACTTGTTTTATGCATGTACTACACTGTAAACAACACATTATCCAACATGATGTCCATGTTGGTCTAATGCCTTTATAAAGACGAAAATCTGGACTAATAATGTTTCAGTTCATACTCCCACAAAAAATACAACTAATAGGGGAGCTCAATATAAACTCACTATGACACTACCAATATTTGGCATGTTTAACTAGTGAGGTAATTTAAGAGTTTATTTCGCCAATACATAAAAATGCGTTGACTCAAGCAACAAATAATAAATATTCAACATAGGTATATATGTCTATATATTTTGAATGGAAGTTGTGTTAATACAACCTAGCACAAATAGGTGTGATGAATTAAATTTAACAATAACCACAAAGTTTACGCTTGTCAGTCAGTTACAACGTAGGACCAGGCATATATGTGCATCGGTCCAAGTTGCCATACCTCATTAGCACAACAAGATGAACACCGGATTCATAGAAGTAGTTAATTCAGTGGTGGTAATATATAAAAGAAAGATTGCATATAAGGACATAGTACAGGAAGAAAGAATTAGTTCGTAGAAAGAAAGATATGAAGCGATTTCAATCTCATAGTTTAAAGGAAGACAGAGAGTGCATACACCTAGGCCATTGTGATCAATTCTGAGTCGTCACCCAGAGTCTTCAACCATTAGTTACGATAGTCATGCGGACCACAACCAAGTAGTTTGTATCTACCAACATGGCTCAGACTACAAGTTGGTGAATTCAAGCACTGATGCCACGCTTGTAGGTTTAATGATTTCTTAAGAAATTTTTATTTTATTGTTCAAATATGATGTTGGGTTGAAGCATTTATGAATAAGGAAACTGGAAAACTGTATTTGGCAGAAATAATAAATACCTACATTTAACAAGCACGATTAAATAATTGACCAATTATATATACAGGTGTAAGAGTATTAATATCATAATATGTATGGATAATTATATCATACATTCGATCGTTGACAATGTTTAACTGATAATTGATACACATCACTTGTATTTACTAAATAGGTGACCTAGGTCAACATTTTATCTTTATATGAATGATGTAATCATATTTCATACTTGTTTAACTGTTACAGTGGAGAATTATAGTGTTCGTTACTGTACAGTTAGCGAAATTTGGCACACTGCATATTGGTTACCAAAACCAAAACATTGACATGAAGCGCACAGGTGGATTTAGGGTGAAATACAGTATAACTGGTCAACAAAAGGTCCATTGTATTCAGTAATAATAACATACTTTTATACAATATATAGGACAAAATAAACATTATTAGAACTCATAAATAGTATGAATTATTACTATGTAATGATATCTGGAAGTTAATGAAGATTCAATGAACTTAGCTATTAAGATATCGGTCAGTCTTCTATCTGCTATGATAACCATAAAAATATTTAGCGATTACAATGTGCTTTCATAAGAATGGAATTAAGTATTTTTTAAAAATCAGTAATGTGATTATACAGACGACGCATTATGTTGATCTGAATAGGTATAAACATAGTGCTACGACTAAAATAGTGAAAACTGCTTAAGAATAAAATCAATTTTACAGAAAGTCTATGCAAGTAGTTTCTCAATCATAAACAGTGTAGTACCTGGTGTATTGGGTTTCACTTACCAGTCTTCTATCAGTACAAAAACCAGAAATTAACAAAGTTAGAGCTAAAAATTTCGAATTAATGAAGTAATAGTGATTTATTCTTTTACCTTCTTTAACTTTGATAAGTTTTGCGGTTTACAAAAATCCTCAGTAATTTATCAAAATCCTCTACATTATCAATAATAAGACTATTTTCTGATTTAAAAATAAATGTTTTCAATAGATTATATTACTTAATTCATAAATTTCTGCATTTATATTTTAAAAAATTTCGACACAGTAAAACAAACACTATGGCAAAAAGAATTAGACGTGAGACTATAGTTTAGGAACGACCTTTGAGAGAAGCTAGACTGACCTTGAGCGTGTCCACTTAATAACCAGGATCAAATGAGGGTTATAAACCAGTATGAGGAATTAGAATTATAATTTACAGTTGATGATTAAGGTTAGGAATTAGATTTCGGTTTTTCATCACGAACTGACATCAGCTATAATGCCAAAACTCTGTTTATCCGAATGGATGAATGAATTTCGCGCCAAAATCCGAGACCTAATATCTTATATGTGGTCGGTTCGTCCATAAATTAGAGTATCGCCGAATTAGCACAAACTTTGAAGAATATACACAGACGATAAGACATATTTACATATTTAAATTTCACTTAAATATTCAACAAATATTAGGTTGTTATGGTTTGAAACTGTATATCTGAATATCATTTACAATCAGTTTTCAGAATTCATTTCAAAATAATCATAGGCGAATCAATGTAATCATAAATATTGTTAAAATGAATGAGACTATTATCAGTTGAAAATAATCATTCATTGCAAACTATATTATAAATAAGAAAAGAGAATGTTAAAACAAAAAAATTAACTGTCTTATTTTACAATTCATAATTGACCCATTAATAATCGGACTAAATTTATGAGCTAATTACACTTTAAATTCAGGAAATTATTGACAATTCAAAAATGTCAGGAAGTTTAAAAGAGAAAAAGCCTATGAAGTCTATGGCAATTGAATTCTTTGTTATTAATATTCGTTATAATAAGTAGGCAATATGATCATAACATGTCATATTAAATAATAATCTTATTATTATGTATGCCAATAAAAATTAGCAGTCAACTATCGTTAAACAATGATGATTAGGCGTGGCTTTTCACTAAAACATTTTGTATGCTACAATTAAGGGAGTTTATACGCGTAGTGAATCGTTGTGAATAAAATAAATTTTACCTACTCTAACCACAATTAATAGTAAGAATAGGAATAAGAATGTTTTCTCTCCTTGCATATACCTTTTAAGTCTGTTATTGACTAAATATTTCAATGATTGCTTTGCTTTTTTTAGATACTACAAATCATACAGAAATAACTTCAATGATAGATTTAATGACTAAACTTTGATTAAGCTGAACAGTTAAACTGCAAAAAAACATGTTTTACCAATGAAGAAAATTCCATGAACCAAATGCAGACAAGTAATCGAAGAACACAATGAATTTGAATACACCCAACTAATGGAATTAAACGAATAAATTATTTAGAATCAACTATAAAATCAGTGCAACAAAAAATCACTTATGTAAAATGACCACGATTAGCATTTTCATCTCATAAGGCCGAAACCAATGATTATTTATTTATTTGAACACATAAATATTGGTACAAGGGGGCAGTCAGTCAGTCAGCTACAACATAGGACCAGGCACATATATGCATCGGTCCAGGTTGCCATACCTCATTAGCACAACAAGATGAACACCGGATTCATAGGAGTGGTTAATTCAGTGGTGGTAATATATTTAAAAAAAAGATGGCATATAAGGACATAGTACAGGAAAAAAGAATTAGTTAGTAGGAAGAAAGATATGAAGTGATTTTAATCTCTTAGTTTAAGGGAAGATAGGGAGTGTATGCACCGACACCATTGTGATCGATTCTGAGCCATGTCACCAAGAGTCTCCAACCATCGGTTACGAAAGTCACGCGGACCCCAACCAAGTAGTCTTCATCTACCAACATGGCTCAGACTAGAGGTTAGTGCCTTCAAACACTGATGCCACGTTTTGGTTTGGCCGCCCCTAATTCTCTTCCAACCATCTCTAACACCCGTTAGCATTGCACGACGTGGTAATCGGTGTTCAGGCATTTGTAACATGTGGCCCAACCATCTTAGTCGATGAAGATTCACAACCTCATCAACTGATTTACCATCATTACCTAATACCCTGCGTCTAACCTCACTATTACTTACCCGGTGATCCCAACAGACGCCAGCAATATTTTCAAGGCATCTGTGGTCAAATACTAGTAGCTTACGGGTGTCTTCTACTCTTAATGGCCATGTTTCGCTGCCGTAAAGTAAAACAGAACGGACTGCCGCGCAGTATACTCGTCCTTTTATTGATAGACGGATATCTCGCCTCCGCCAAAGGTGATGTAAGTTGGCAAAAGCCGAGCAAGCTTTTCGAATCCGTGCTGAGATTTCGTCCGATACCAGCCCATTAGGGCTGATCAGACTTCCAAGATAAGTGAAGTTTTCGACGCGTTCGACCACTTCACTCCCTATCCTTAGTTCAGGTGTTGACGCAGGCCAGTCCTGAAGCAACAACTTGCATTTAGAGGGAGAGAAGCGCATTCCAAAGATTCTGGCATTGTTGCTTAGTGCTATCAAAAGACTATGCATTTTATCAGCGTCTTCACCAAACAGGACTATATCATCTGCGTATTCTAAGTCGATAAGTGGACCTCCTGGAAGGAGATCAATACCCGAGAATTCAGTCGACGAGAATGTTATTTCCATCAGTAGGGGGCACCAGATATATATGCGCCACACAAAACAATGAGAATGGGAGAGAAAAAAGAAGGCAAGGTGCATATAAGAAAAAAAGAACAATAACGATCACAGGTTAGTTTAAGGTATTGTTAATAATAATGATGATGATAATAATAATAATAATGGGGGAAACGGAAAGGTACAATCAGAAGAAATCTTTCAGTTAAGGAAGATACAACCACTTCTTATGAAGAAATTAAAAGAAGGTTACAGAAGGATCGCCACTAGCTTCTAGTCTGAGCCATATCTGATAACGTCTCTAGCCACTGTGTTGCACCATTTCTCGAACCCCAACCGTGGAGTCGTGAAGGACCAACAGAAGCCAGTTCTTCGCAGTTTTCTTTGATGCCCCGACACCATGTCATACATTGACCACCTCTCCGCTTTTTCCAACCAGTCTCAGCGTCGGTAAATAATGCACGACGTGGAATTCTCTGGGACGACATTCGTAGAACATGTCCAAGCCACCGAAGTCGATGTTTCAAGATGGTGACACCAATTGGGTTATCGTCTCAAATACAGAAATAGAGTGGAATGACAAAAACCAATGGTAAAATGACATGTTTTCGATTAGGTCTTCAGCCAGACTTCCAACACGTGCCATGAACACATCTGTTAACAATGGTCCTAACGGACTAGCCATAGCAACCCGATCAATCTGGCGAAAGTATTTACCTTCAAAAGTGAACTGAACTCTGTCAGTATATAATAATTTATCATTTATTTGAACACATAGATATTGGTACAAGGAGGCACCAAATACATATGCGCCACATAAATCTTATTTGATATGTGCGAGGGCTGTGATACTGCCCGGGTGCCCAGACCGAAGCAGATGGTTTTCTTAGGGGGCCACACCCGGAGCCTTCGACCTGAAGGTCTGATCCACAAGGTAGTGTAGCATCGTGAGGAGATGCATTCCCATGGTAGCCGGTGACCAACGATTGGTTCATACGCCGTTTGTTCCCTCAGGATACTGGAGCCCACGTGCACCATTGGTTTTGAATCAGGGTTTTCCAACTCTCCTAGGTGGATCATCCATATCCACTAACCCGGTTAAAGCGCCGGACATTGGCTTTTCGTCCTCTCAATTTCGTAAACGACACCCCCGCCACGAGGAGGCAATGAGTAGGACTTCCCTGGCAGAGGCTATGTACGCGTGGCCATGTGAGAGCATTTCGAGAGGGAGAACGGACTCTCCCCACTCTTGGCCGTACCAGGGCATTTGGGGGCGTATATAATAACAGTAAATCTTTAAGAATTTTTAAAGGGACAGGTAATTTAATGTTGTTTAAAGATATGTAGTCACATAATATATTAATAGTCTTTATCAAAGGTTAAGTTGTGAACAAGGAATCCACATTAAATGAACACATTGTCTTTTCCTTGTTATTAATTTCACTTAAACGATCAACCAATACAAACGGGGTTTGATAAGGTGCCTATTCAACAGGCTTGATCGTATTTGTACAAGTGACGCCATTGACGATGATGTCAGGTTGCTAAATAAAACATTAATGAAAAATGGCTATCCTCTTAAATTCATAAATAGATGGAAAGTTCATGGTGCAGTGAGACCTACTATAGCTTTGGCAGAGAAAAGGTCTGTCTACATCACCTTAGCACTTCGAGGTGATTCAAATAGCCTTTTATTGAAACAAAGGCTTACATCAGTCATTGACAAGATATATTTTGCAGCGGAGGTAATTATCAAGGAAACATTAGGGTTCATGCTTCATCGAAAACCTTAAAGATAATAAAACGATTGCGCCACATCCCACTGTGTTTACCAATTTAGATGTGTGTGTGGTCACACATACATGGGGAGGAGTAATCGTGATCTCAAAATTAGGGTGTGTGAACATGTGCCTAAATGGTTGTAGAAACAAGTAGAATCAAATAACGCAATAAGAGTAGAGGATAAACATCCATCATCCTTTATTGCCAAACACATAGCTGAAACAGGTCATAAGATTTATCCTAACTCGGCTTTTCTGATATTGTACATAAGTGTAAAAGGATGTATACTAAGGCTTACTGAAGCCTTAGCCATACGAAAACTTAAACCCCCTCTGTGTATTTAAAAACAGTTTGTTTTCACCTTAAACCTATCCTGGCAATATTAGCTTATTATCCAGGTTTCTTTACTATCTTTATCTCCTCTTACCCTTCATTTCTAGTCTAGTTGACCTTTTATTTTCTTGTATATAAATGTTCTTAACAAGTATATGTGTGCTTAAATTGTTCGAAATGTATTGCGCTAATATATCACATATTTCTGATAATCTTCGTCTTCTTATTACACTATCGAAATTCATCAAAGGGACTAATTGCTTTAAATTTTTACTCAAGCTGGCATAACTAGTATTCTGCACGGAGAATCGGTTTACAAAACTTAACTGGTTTCTGATACAATTTATGGATTAAACGGTTGGAAGGATAAATCAGATTGAAATCTTGAAAATTCTTGAGAGTAAAATGGGAGTAATATTATAAAAGGAAAAAGAGAAATGAAGTGAAAACGGGAAGTGTGGACAAAAAGAAGATACAAAAAGTCTGTTACTACTGATTCAGAAGTGTTAAGGAAACTCGATATCTTTCCAACTTTTGAGTTATAGTTCCAATAAAAAAAAGATTTCATTTCACAGTAACAATACTTGTAGTTTACGCTTTGTCAACGAATCCATTTCGGATGATATTTTTTTTTGAAACAATCACAATGAGAACGATATTGGTGAATGTTATGCATAGATTTTTATAAGGTTGTGCATTTAGTCAATAACTGTTATATGTTATAAATCAAAAATAAACAATGAAAATTACTAGAAAAACAAAATGGAAAATATTAGATGTCATCGCTCTAAATAAACATGTAATTATTTAGTTGAACAAACAACACACTGGTGTATTTTCATTTTATACTGATGACAAATCAATAGAAATGACCTCAGTCCTTATCACTGATGTATATTTGAGATAGCAATGCTAGGGTTAATAAATCCACACTCTGCATATGGATATTTTAATAGAAAAATAATACAATAAATCCAGGAAATTTCATACTGAACTATTCGAATGTGATATTCTTGTTTTTATGGCTTACGCTGCCAAATGTCACGGAATGAAAGTTTTGGCAGAACTCACCGTGATATGCTTGTATCCAATATCCATATGGACGATCTGAATAATACGCGACAGCCAATGACAGAGAAAGACTCGTGGATATACTAAGTGACAGACAAGCCATTGTGATTATCCCAGCAAAATATCTATACTCAAATTAAACATATATAGAGGGAAAAACATTGAATTATGGACTTTGATAACCATTTAACACAAAAAGTGAGTAAGGTTTAGTTGCATACACAAATGTAAAACAGATGAATTATTTTCCACGAAAATACTAATTTCAGCCTGTTTTTAATACATTCAATAAGTCAGCCATCTAATTCTCAAAAACGTGGATGGCAAATAAATACAAGTATATAAACACATAAGCTGATAGTAGATACAACAATTTGGTATACGTAAAGATTTACATATATATTTCTGGAAAACTAGGAAGACCACCTACGTAGAAAAAATGTATACCTTTGGACAGAAGGGGAGGTAACTATGTAGATTATTAAAGACTAATGGTGGAAAACATCTGATTAAGGAAATAATTTGGTATCAATGACTCAAATATATTACAAAATTTATGTAAAAACTTACGTATAATTGCGACTACCTATACAATTATTAAGCCATTTACAATGATGATCAAAATCAGCGATACATTTGTTGCAACTTTTGCAGTGTTTTGTTCGGGAACTTGAGCTGAATAAAAGGAAACAAGTGTTTTTTAAACCAATAGGAATAGAACCTATTTATCACATATGATATAAATAATCTTACCAATTTATTTAGTTTTAGTTACATAAAACACTTTTTCTAGGTTTTTGGTAACTACTTAGTGTAAAATGAACTTTTGGACAAAAAAAAGGCTAATATGCATGAATCAGTACACATGCACATAGTGTTCAACAGTATTATGTTTCAAATATTATTTTCAGAACTACTTGCGAAAAAATAAACTCGCATATTCGAAATTACACGCTTGAATGATTCCAATTCATTATCGGCAACACATAAGATTATGATGAACAGCTTTAATTTACTATGTCCAGCAAAAAACTGTTGGTGTTCGCACAAACTGGATTTAGTCGACACTCTAACTAGGTTGGTTTTTGCTAACCTTTCTTGACAATACATTTCACAAGATTTACGAACGAGTGCAAGCCAATGTGACTTACATGACAGTTTATATGATTAGTGACATCAATCTATACGAAAAGCCTAGTGCAGTGAGAATGCAAATACTGACTCTTCACTCTCATCCTTTGGATTAGATTCAAGGGATCAAGAGTGATTTATCAAATCGACAATTAACTTCAGATTTCGTGCATGGATAGCAATGCAGACTATACACATTCTAAGATAGTTAAAAATGAAAACATTACTCTGTGATGAAAACTAATCATAGTGCCACTAATATATTCACAAAAATATCTGTTCCACATCAATTTGATTTTTAGCACTAATTTTCGTTTTATGAGACAACTTATCGCTGTCAAGTCTAAGTCCTACAAGGTAGCTAAAAATCTGACTTGTCAACCCTGTCCGCCTGATGTATATTTCTTAAGTTTGTCATTTGCGTCCACAACTTAGCGAATATAAGAGAACCAACATTATGTAGGAAATACGAAAGCCTCGTTACTGAAGTATTCTGTATTATTAAAAATCGCCGTTCAAATGATAACAAAATAAAGTGAGTTGTCTATTTATTTGGTGGCCCGAAAATTTTCCTCATGGTGACATTGTAAAACACCTAATGACATCCCTTCCCACGACAGAGAGAGTAGTATTATTCTAGTGGGTTACAGTGGATAGTCTTCTATGTAATATAATTCTGTAAGCCTAACTGGGGGTGACAGTTAAACGACAAGGATACAGATAATCTCTTATCATATTTATTTGAGATACAACCAGCTGAATGCCACTACTTTTAATCCTTAGGCAGAAGATAGCTCTGAATTGTGACAGAAAAACAGACAGCATAAACAAAGATAAATGTACAACAGTTAGAAGTGTCAAGCTAAACATCAGCACAGTGGCAAAAGAATAAGGGACCAAAACAATGGACATAATGATGAAAACAGTATTATGTAAATGAAAGATGAAAGGGTTTAAAACATAAGTGCATCGATACCAGTCCGTTCTTAAACATTAGTTGGCAGTAGGTGAGATACTCAGCTTTTCAACTTGGGGAGCTGAGTACTGAAATCACACAAACAGGCTCAATCATCCATTACGAAAAATAAAGGCTTGAAAATAACAAGTCAATAAACACAAAAATACCACAGAACAGGAAATACTTACATTGGCAGCTCACACAAATTACAATAAAAGTTCTCAATCACATGTACATGTTTAGAATCCAAAGAGGAAACTTTATTTCCATGCGATTTTTGTTTTTCTCTGACAGCTGTATCAGCTGGATTAATACTCACCGCAATTATATTAAGAACAATATAAGCAGCAATACACACGGCATTGATCTAATGCATGAATTAAGGATGGATAGAGTTTATTACAATGAGACAATCGTGACAAACCTCCTCACTAAAGAAAGGGGGAAGTACTAGGATCATAGAAATGACACAAAATGGTCCCTAAATAACAATAATCTCTGAACGTAACATTAATAACCAAAATAACATTTAAAGTACCACTTGAAAGTGTCTTCACTAGCTAAGATATTTTTTCCTGAACATTACTAAAACTATTGTATGTAAACATTTGTACAGAACAGGGATGTCAGAACGCAACCCAAACCTAATCAATGCAGGCAACTATGGGTCCCTATATTATTGCTCTTTTACGTCTATTGAAATATCCCACTATTGGCATACAGCATGTACAAGCAAATGACGACAGGTTTTAAAGTTGACCTCATTTAGCTGGAATACTTTAACCTATTCAGTCTACCAACATCTGCCATATTTTTTATTAAACACAGCGTATCCACATAGAATGCTTTAATGACTGAATTGTTACATGAAGTAACTCCAACCAGCTATTACATACATTTGCAACTAGTTTTGACCTCCCCATGACCATACAAGTAACGAGATAGAACAAATGCATTTATAAGAACTAATCAAACATTTCGCTTATCTTTCGTCAGTCTTAGTGTGTTAGGTGGCTTTTAGCTTAGTTAATCACACCCGGACAAAACACTAGGTGAGCTAAGGAAATTTCCCATGTCATATACCACAATATTTGGGGATCGATACTCATCAGTCACAATCGGGTATATGAAGGATACAACAAAAAGAGGAATTCTGGCTCGAATGACGATAGATGGGACGAGTATTCCAAAGTAGATTATCGAGAACAGAGCAGTAGCGAACCAGGATAGACATTGTAAAGGATGAATTGGTAACGACCATCCATTGATTCTGCTGGATGATTTTGTATTTAAACTCATGTAGGCCTTAAGTATTTCTGAGCAAGTAGATTTGTCATAGTATGAGAACAAACCATATCCATGTCATTGAAACCGAACCACCAACCATCCAAATGTAATGAGCAACTCCATTGCCGTTGAAGTAAATTCTATGAAAGGACGAGCTTCAACTCAACTGCAAATGCCCAAAATAATGGTACCGGACTAAACAATCAATCCGAAATCGTAAATGAAAGGTTATTTCTATCTTAACAGAAAACACCTGAAGTTACCGCCAACATAATTATCTTACGCTCTCCGAGGTCAAAAACAATGTCCAATCGTTCCATGCAGCGGTTACGTTAGTAAAAGCAACTGCAGACTAAAATATGTTGATATGAAACAACAATCCATGAAAACGTTTAGGCATAAATCTCCGCACCAGTGCGTCATGCTGTAAGAAAAAATAGAATTTTTGTGTTTCCCAAGGGCTACGTCTACATTTCATAATATGTTTCCTGATCATGAGGGGTATATTTCTCGTTTCAGTCCCCTAGGAACTCCGAAAGATAAAACATCGGTTCATAGTAGTGCTTGATAACAATAACAACAACAATGATTTCCCTCAATACCTTTGGAATAAGAGTTGAACATCATTTCGCAAGAATCCCATTACGGTTCTTTCAGGCACTGAACTCCGCAGTCTACAGATCTCAATCTCATGGACATTTGCATAGACATTTGTGCGTACTTTCATATGTTTAGTGAAATTAATAACTGATAAGTAATGAGGACCAGTCTTTGAACACTGAATTATGAGATCAATACTCCATCTCAATTAAAGTCCTACCTAATATTCTGGTCCTCCACAGTCTGAAACTTTGTTGTTTGGGGTTAAAGAAGTTAGATTTACTTTTTAATTGAGACATCATCTAAATTATCCTTCTTGGAACCCTTTCTTAGGTTTTGGCATCGTTTCAAAAGTAGTAAGAAGTGGTAGAGATTTCATAATATAAAGCATTAATTAAATTTCGTAGGTGTGCATGAAAATCTCAGATGCATCCCAAAGTTACGAAGAGGAACACAGTTGAATATGCCACAGGTATTTGGTGTTTCACAATGCTTTAACCAGTAACACCTTCTACTATGAATCGTACCCACCAAGTGAAATCAAAAGACAGGAGTGAGGGGGTTCGAAGATATATTTGACAAGCTATCAATATATCGAGAATCGACTGGTTTAGACTAGCTAGCGGTTGTAGAATAAGTTGAGCACAGAGTACCCACTCGTGCTCTGGTGTGGATGTGTGTTCAAGCGCCTCCAGTTAGGTTAGTCCACCCAAAGTGATGTGGTCAGCACCAGATGTCGAAGACTTACGGAGCTAGTGGGGTAATGATGACCTTAAGACACGGTTAGCCGGAAATTTGAAACCAACATGTCTGTCGTTGGTAAACACTCTTCTTATGGCTTACTGTGTTCAGGAGCGTTTGGTAGTCTTTCGTTACTATGAGGGGTCATGTGGTACACTATAGTGACGAAGAAACATGTACGATGAAAATTTCAACTCATCGTAGACTTCGTCGGTTTTTCGTCTTTTCCAGCCATCCTGGAGAAGAGAAAGAGAGGATATGTAAGCGCATGTCTAATTAAACCCGTACATACGTGAAGACAAAAAGGAAAGTAAACCTATATACATGCGTTTCGCAAACATGTCACAGCGTAAAAACGATTTTCGCAGAAAGAATGTTTGGTTTTTAATAAAAACAGAAATATGCACATACAAGCAAGCATACTAACAACAAGAAGCTTTGCCTTCGATTTTTTTGATGAAAACAATAAATATATACAGGCAAATTGAAAATATTTTATTTTTGTTTCCTGACACATTAGTACGTAAATTTCAAGACGAAACAAAATGTTATATACTGTCCTAAGTGAAGTACTCACTTGGGTGTTCCGGAAACCTCACTCTTCATTCAGAGGGCGTTGTTTAGAGTCGGTTGTCAGATACCACCAACACGTCATCGGGAATGTTGATTATTGGGTGAGGCATCGCAACTGCGAGACCCGTGTCTTTCGAGTGTACCGAGCGAAAATCGACGTGGATGGGTCTCCTTCTCAATATGCTGCTTTGATAAGGTCGATGTGGATGTTATCGTTACTCCCGTTCTTATCGATTATTATTAGGACTAAATGAACGTCATAGATTCCACTGATAGCAACTATCCATCTCTGTTTAATAAACTTCATACGCAAGGATTGTGCTCGGTACCCTATTGTAAACCATTCGCTGTTAAAGCTTGAAACTGACCCTCGACATAATGTAAAAAATTAGAGGTACATTTAGAGAATCTTTTAGAATCACGTGAGATCATTCTAAAGAATTTTGACCAAGAAGTATGCAATAAGCAGCTGTTTTAATTTAAAGAAATAGTTCTCCGAAGCATACGACGTACTAGGGCATGTATGGGCAAAGATTACCAGGACCTCCGCATTTTATGCATATCTCTTAAATTTGCTGAGTTAGGTGTCGGATGACGCCAGCGAATATACGTTTAAAAGTCTGGATACATCAATGGTACCATTTAAGCATAAAGACCAAGATAAGATATATGCACTCCGGTGATTCCTGAATAGCTTAATTGTACAAATACACAACATGACAAGCACTTAACTTGGTATAAATGAAGGTTTGTAGCAACATAGGTTGAATGGTTAAGAGTCGACCAAAAATATCTTACTAGATGTCAGGACACTAAAGCTCAAGTATAAAATCACTTCCTTGTATAGGAATTACATTTTCTATCATTTTATATTGAACGTTCCAAAAGCTTTGTGTGTTTGAAAAAAGGTAACCTGGAGCTCCACGATGTTCTGTTCCACGCTCTAAATAAAGGCCTATTCACTACAATACTGGTTTTTTATCAATAGAACGAGGGCTACCCACCGGCACGAAAGGTTAATGGATAATTGTTTCTCATCAAGCAGAGAACGCTGTTTGACAACTTAACAATTTAACTACGAAACATCGAGTAGACCAGTCATTAACCAACCCAGTACTCCCTATTTGTAAAAAGAAATGAATATCCCTTCCAATGAACAGATGCAATTTTGCCTGAATAAGGTAAATCAACTTTATTAACTCGGTGGTGGCAAGTTAAACATGTGTAACCAAGATGGCGACATGGGAATGTTACGTCCTCTATTTGATTTCGGCAGAATACGATAAATAATTAAAGGCATCTGAATGTGTAGAACCCCACAGTCACAAATCAAGAGAGAGAAGAATCAGGGGAAGCGACTATTCAGCAAAAATCAAAAATGTACTGAAAAATATGGGTATCTGTAGATATTAGAGTTAGCTATAACATCGTCTCAATTTGGCCAATCCGCGAAGAAGCAAGTAATTCCACCCTTCAATCGTAGCATATCACGTCGATATTCTAGAAAGCTCTATCCGGTTCTGATTGGACGGAAACTCTTCGGCTCCTCTGAAGCCCCTAGAGGCTTCGTCGTGCATTTCAAAAGTCGTCCAGATAGGGAGAAACAGTCCGCGTAAGACAGATTACTGTTGTTAAGGTACGATCGTAAAATTGCAGCGACATAACTGACAGAACACAATGGTATAAAAATTGGATAGAAGGGGATGATAAATTGGATTGTAGAGGGAAATAAGAGATTGATGTCATATGGTATGATAATGACAATGAATAATACGATGATCTTGATAGAACGTAACACGAACGAAATCAACACAGAGTGTTGCGCTTTATGAAGAGTTGGTAGACAATGGCTCAGACCATTTGCTAGTCAGTCATAACTGCATAAAACAAATGATGTAATACAGTTGTGAAAACTAATCTAAAATAATTTCGGGATAAATGTCCCTTATGATGGCTTTAAAGGACACTTTTTAACTTCTGACAAGGTAGTACTTTGTGAACTTCTTCTTTGGGTTATGCAAGACGTTCCTTAGATGTCAGAAGACTAGTGAACTCTTTTCGAATGCAGAAGCACAACAAACAATAGTGTGATATCAAAATACAACACCCGAAACACCTATTAGAAACATGTGCCAACATCCTACATCTTATTTGTGACTTCATGTATTTGTAACAGTTACCTGGATGTTATTACCAAGAAGTACCAATCGAAATGTTAAGATATGAGTTCTTCACCGGAAACCTGCCCACTCATTGACTTATATTGTCATATAACCTGCTCTTTATCATGTGTGCATTGTTTTTCAGTCATCGGTTGTTCGTCGTAATGCAGTAGCTATGAAAGGCGCCATATTTCACATTCTACATTCTATCACCATATTTTTATGCACAAATGTTTGCTCCCCTGTTTTGTAATAAACAACTGGTATGAGATGTCAACGTAACTGACTAACTTAACTTGGTAAATTCTGTAACATTTTTATAATTTGGTTTTGCCTCTAAACTGTCGTGCATCGTTTAACCTGTTGTTGTGTAGTGACATACATTTATCACGAGAACACAATTGGTTTAATGGAAACAATTATTATTATAACCAATTGTACCAGTGACTGTTTTAATGTGCTCTTTGTTTAACTGTGCTAAAAACATCCATTATACTTACTTCGATTGTGACCTCACGCGAATCCGGTTACGCTCAGTAACCAGGCTTGTATCCTGGCACGATCTCGGTATTCTTTCGATACCACGAGATCGCCAGCAAATATATCTCGACTTGGTCCATTAACTGCCTTCTGATATTTGGCTTCCGGGGGATTTTATGGATATTCTGGCACGCGTTGCTTTGTAGTGGTGTTCACAATCAACTGGGACTCAACACCACGCTACAGTTGTATGAGAATAAATCATCATCATTATCATCATCACAAATAATATTAGCACTAATAAAATTACCAATCCCAGTCATGTTGATTGTGATTACACCACTTCAGACTTCACCTACATCCCGTTCAATCACAGCTGGCTGAACAATGGTGTTTGATTTGGTCAAGGAAGAGAAGTTACAATATTATTCATACACTAACAAACGTTGACAGCTT